AGAGGAGCATGCCGGTCGGACGGAGAACTTGTACAGGAAGAGGTTTGATTTGAGAAAGACTCTTGGGAGGTTGGTTGGGCTAGTTAGAAGAGAGATGTCGGTTGGGGTCATGTTTAGAGAATGCGCGAAATGAAGTTAAGTAAGGCGAATAGGAGGAGAGGTCGAAGGGCACGTAAACTGTAGAAAGACAGTAGTTATGGAGCCTAAACATTGGAGTTGCCAATGGTGTTCCGAATTTTTGCCAGAATATTGGAGAATCTGTCACGCCCAGTATAGTCGATTTCACCACGTTCCCAGGCGTACATACGTTCGGGGTCAGTGACCTCTGAAGAAGCTTCGAGCACGTTGGCCCCTTGGGCCGTCTTCGCTTCTGGAATGGAGACGGTGGGCTCCGCCTTGAATGAACAGGAGGTAGGGTAGTGACAGCGAGAAAAAGAGAATAAAATGTGTCATTTACAATGCTTATTCATAAAGAGACTTTCACTTAGTAGGAAAGTGCATGATGAAGAGATTGTTTGTTGGTCTCATCGGAAGACGACGGTCGAATCCCGTTGTTCTGTAGCCGTTTGGCCTTAATACGACGCTCATGGTTACGCAGTCCACGAGACATCCTTTCTCATTTAGAATGAAGACGGACATTTAGAATGAAGAGCTGGAACTCATTCTTGTAAAAGGCTCATGTAATCATTATATCCAAAAGATTGTGCAGGCCGATCCTACTTCTTATACAAGACATCTTCCCAAATAGTCGTTTTGACTTAGTGCTGACTCGAGACTTTTACAAGAATGAGTTCCATCTCTGATGATGTGCATCAGATGATGGACGAAAGCTTAGCTCGGTTTTATCCGAAATGAGGGACAATGTGTCGTGAACTGTGTACACATGAATGGTATTAATTCTAAACGGCTGCAGATCAACAAGAATTGGCAGTCGTATTCTAGCTACATCAATCGACTGAGCTCTTCACTATGCCCTTGCATGCAGAATACAAGTTGCCCTAGCAACGTCATCATAAGAGCTTGATCGAAAGCCAGCTAATATTCGTATCTAAAATACCGAATGCATTCTCATAACAAGTAGACCTTTCGATGCAACGAAGTTGTCTGCATAATCTCGCGGTTTCGTAGCCTAAAACATCTAGTCATTTA